TGATCATAAAATGTTCCCTATATATAGCGGATACTCCGTTATATTAAAATCATCTAAAATATCGTAATACATGACAAAGAATATGCATTGATGTGCTACTTAATTAAATAATAACGTTGTTTTTTTGGCTGTAATATTTGTCATGTGATCACAGTTAATACTTTTTTAAAGAATACAATATTCTATTAAATAATGTGCTCCAAGAGCCTTTAGATTGCTAATTAATTACCTGTTCTTCGATAACTATATAATGTTGATAGTAGATTAGTTGTAAGACGACAACTGCAAGCAGTACAGCATAAATATTAGTAATTAACATCGCGCTAGCCCAAATGCATCGTTTCCATACCTCCATATCGAGCAAGTTATCCGAAACTTGTTGTACATCAATTATGAGATCAATAAGCCAATATAAAATATAGGAGAGCTAAAATTTGATTTGAACAAATTCCGCTTTTTCTTCCCTTTTCCTTTTTCTACTTCCTAAATTTATATTGCTATTCGATATTTTGTTCCTTCTACACATCTCTTTTCACATGATGGTAACTTGCCTTTTTTATAGAAAATTTGCTGTCTCTTTATTATCCTCGCCATTATCACCATTATCATGTTATCATTACTCGCGGTATAAATTGCTGCTTTTATGAACAACGAACCAACGTAATATTAATTGAATAATTTATTCGCGCTTACAATTTACTGTTTCTTATAAATTTCAAACCGTAGAATGAAAAAATGACTCATTGGAAGCCATGAAGAATGCTTAATAAACGAATAATACCTTTTGAGCATTTCTACTCCATGTTTACTACATCTCATTAAAACTTACAATGGTAAATAGTATTGGCAGAATAAGCACAAAGCTTGGAAAAAGTGTTCGCATGGCATAAGTTGGAAAAAGCCATTCGAAATCAGCATGAATTAGTGCAAGAAGCGCTGATAATGGCGCCAATCCATACAGAAATAACTCAGATAGACCCCAAAATAACTGAAATTGTTAAAAAAAATAAACCCAATTTAATTGTATTAAATTTTTGAAAAAATTTTGATAAATTATTAACATTCATCCATTGATTGCTAACGGCCAATTTAAAGTAATTAAATGTATCCTTACTCCATTATTCAATTGCACTCATTTATAAAAATTTAATTTTCATAAATGGAATAAGGAATATTTTGCCAATTGAGTTTGTTTGATAAAAACTGATTTAAATCAATTTTGTTTGCTTCATTTGATTAGATGAATTAAAGTGAGAATTCTCATTAAACAAATATATTAATTAACTGTAATAACTATTACACAACAAGTAATGAATAAACTATTTTACGGATGTGAAATTTTAAATTTGTTCATATTTTATCATGTATATCCATACTCTACATATAATATGATCATTGCGCAAATGTGGCTAAAAATTGAACGGGTTAATAATTACAAAATTATAATTTTGAAACTAATTAGAATGTCGACAAATTAATCATTACTCCAGCAGTTCTTTCTTGATACAAGCGACATGAGGTGCATCGATCCAGGAATAACAACTGATTTATATGCTCGCACAATCGCTTAATTCCTACGACCGAATATAAAATAAAGATAGCATAACCACCCATCTACAATGTGTGAAAAGAGGATAGTGAAACAAAAGAAAGGTAAAGTTTGGAATAATCTTCTGCCTTTATTTTATATCTTTCAATTTCTCCTCAAAAAAATTTTATTAAAATTCGTCAATATTTCCATCAAAAAAAGCTTGGAATGGTACTGTGAGCGTGAAAAAAAAACCTTAATGTAAGCCTTATAACAAAAATAACTTGTCTCATCAACAGCATTTTCATCTTCTGACGCTTCTCGATCCATCATATCTACGAATTGATCATATTTCTCATCTTGCTTGTTTTTAACATTAAAAAAGAAGTAAATAAGGTGTTTCAAATATTAATTAAATTCTTTTTCTATCGTAAACATTTGAAAAATTCGTTTCAGAATATTTTTTTATGATCCCATGGAAATTTTTTATGACAATTTTTGCATAATTTCGAACAACTTCCTTTTATAAAATGAATTAAATTACTAATTATGCATTAATGATTTGGAATTTTGTCAATTAGCTTAAATGTATTGATAATTGCTATGAAATTTTAAAAATGAAAAATCAGTATACAGATGAAAAAAAATCATTTCAAGCTAAGATCGCACCATCAACCGAACAGAATCCTTCTGAATGCTAACAGTATGAAACGATTTGAATATAAGGTTTTTCAAATTTTGATTATATCTATTTCTCATATAGATCAATATTCAAATACTCAAATCAAGCAATTTTTTGCATAAATATGTATGTCTATTATAATATTCATATTAGTTAACACAAATTAAGTTAGATTAACAACAATTATAAACCAATTTTGGTTAGATTTAATAAAAAATTATTTTATTTATTTATTTAATTTAATGTTGATCCAGTTGAGTTTGCTCATTTCAGTTCATAAATTATTACGAGACAAAATTTGAATACTTAACTTTATCACTGTCAATGTCGAAATAAATAAAGAACGAAGGTATTTTTTGTTGTAAATTAAAGCAGCTTGAGTAAGAATTCCCTTCGACACTTTTATCGAATTAAAGCTAAATTCAGATAACCTACGTCATCCAAACGATCATATAGGTATCTGAATTTTATTTAACATTTAACGTTTTATTTAACAATTGCAGAAATACATACATATATGAATACATAATATATCCCTAATTATGAAAGAATTTAAAAATCTGTTAATTTATGAATCCAAATTCTAATGAATGTTCATATTTAGTGAATTGAACTCATAATTTAATGTTTAATAATTAATATTCAATAATCTGTTGATGTTTTTACCTTTGCTTTTAGACGGCAAATTAAAATTTTAATCTAAAATATTACTTAATTAATTATCTATTGTCATATGGTGCATCGTTACTCCTCATTTGTATAGAAAACAATATTAATCGATTATTCTCTATTCTCCACTGCAAGATAGACAACGACTTAAAATCGAACTGCAAAAAAGAATATATATAGAAATGAAATGTAAGTGAAATTCCATCCCATGTTACTTTATTGATCATATCGAATTTCTTCAATAAGTAATCCATTCTAGGCAAGCAAAAGATCAAACTTCTCACTGGCTATGATGAGTATGATATTTAGATTTTGAGAAAATCATTTCACAAATAAAATGACAATTCATTACAGTTTTAAATATAGTTTGATGTTGCTTTCAAAAACATAACCAAATTATGCACATTTATTCTAAGTAATTCATTTTTTTAAGAAATAGATATTTCGGTTTAGCATTTGTAATAATAGTAACCAGTAATCAGTGAAGAAAAATCGAAACAAACATTTACAGTCATTGAAGATGGCATCGCTCCCTGCTGAACAACCTACTCATTATTTCAACAAACTCATATGTCACTCCGACCTCCGGAAAAACCATTCCGGAACCACCAAATCCCTCACACTGCTACTTTCAGCAAATCCATTTATGCCACTGCGAAACTGAAACAATATTGAAGCACTCTCAATCTCTGCCTGATGTTACACATGCTTATTGAATGTTTTCTCACTCTCTGACTTCATGTTTTCTTATCTAGCGTCTCCTTGATTAGCGTATCCACTCATCCATGATTCATTTTTAATTCTTGTCACAGATTTTTTCAGTTTGATAATTAGTTTGACCGAATAGACTGCTCGAGACTTGATTTCCTATTGGAGTATTTGATACTTCTGATTTCTTATTTACTCTTCATGTTTTGTGGAAATTTCTTGATCATTTGAAAAATTAATGTCATATCGAAATTTTATCAAATTTTGCAGAAACTCAAATGCTTGATGAATTCTAAAGTTAAATTTTACTCAGCAAGAATTAAATTTCAATAAAGCTTGATACATTTCAGGCATGCCTTGTGTGTTAATGGATGTAGCAACGAGATTGTGAAATTTTATGGCAGCTCATCGAAAATTCACTTTTGAAAATCCAGAAGATAGCTACTGGAATGCCAGTGATTTCGCCGACATCCCATTTGACAATTCGTCGACTACCAATGCGGTAATTAAAAGTTAACTAGTTGTTCCTTCATCTGTTATATAATTGATTTGAATAAATGGTAAAAGATTATTTTAATAATTCTAAGCTAATGCTTATTGACATTTTGTTCCCTATGTTTATAATTTTAACAACAAATTTTTCAATTACAAGAGCTCATCTATCATGCTTGTTAAAGCCACTATCACCTTCTTTGTTAATTTTCCAACCGTATATTTTAGTACTGTTACTCAAAAATTCAGTTTTTTTTATAGGCTGCTGCTCGAGCAGCTTTAGATGATTTATTCGAATGTAAGTTTCGTTTTGATAGTGATGATGGATGGTCCAATGCTGAAAGTGACTCACCGTCGGCTGGAGAAAATTCGATCAAGCAAAATTTAAGGTTTAAATTCTATTTTGCAGGAATGCTCTTACTTTATCTTGTAATTAATTCTAACGGAAATTTCTGTTAAAGAAATCATAAAATCTACAATTTCATTATTTTCTCACGACTTACTATATCTGCGATATGATGATCTTAAATCTACTATTTCATCTACATTCGAAGTCGTTCAATTGCTGTTTTCTTGATAAACGATTCTTTACTTAGAAATTTTTTTCAAATGTTCATCGGGGTTTGAAAACTTCAAATTTACAATTCCAGAAATGGAAGTGTAAATGTGTTGAAAACAGTCGCAGAAACTTCGGCACCCAGCCATACTTTCATTCAGGTAGACATTTAAACTTTTAAATGTTGTTGTCTCTTTAACCCATCAACAGCTAATAGCTACGTGTGATTACAAGAATATCTTCGCTTTTTCTTTTACAAATTTTTGGTCTTAATATTGCTTTTCTAGATATTCTTATGAAGCGAGAATAACTTTACATATACGTATATATATATATATATATATTCGCTCTTGTTGAGATTCAGGATTCGGTTTTTTAGGATTATCCATTTGATCGGAAGTTTCGTTCAAAATCTTGCGCTGTTTTCTGGGATTCTGTTGGTTCGTTCACTTCTGATGGCAGTGCTGAATCACTTTCGAGTAATGCAACTGCACAGCTTGACTACTCGAGATTGAAGAGTGAACACAGGAAATTGCAAAAACATTTGGAGGTTTTTTTGAATTTATTTTTTTCTCATCCAGTTTCAAATTTATCACCTTTTATTTTTTCGGCTTACTTTTTTTGCAAATAAAGATGTTATAAGGATATGATTCAACAATTGACATCGTGGGCTTACCTTTTGACCTTTAGAAGGATTTTTTCATTTTTATAATTTTTATAACTTTTTTGTTGTATCGCGTCGAAATCTTCCATTTATCTTGCATTATCTGTAGATGTATTCCAAATGCTCTTGTCCAGTGATTTGTTTAAGTTTCTACGGAATAACTGGCGCTTGCTAAATGTTGTTCTTACAGCAGGTAAGATTAGAACGTTATCGTGCAGCTGATCCTGAACTTACAGTACGAAGATTGTTACGAAATGATTCGGTTTCGTTAGACTTGTATCGAAGTAAGAGAGAAAAGCTGGATCTTTTGAACGTTGCTTTGGAATCCTGTGATGGGAATGTCATCATTGCTGTAAGCGTTATTTTAATTCAATTTTTTGCATATTTCTTTTGCATTATGCATTTGAAGTAATTTTGAGTTTTTCTGCTAACTGTCTGCAATTCTTCATCAGTCTAGTTTTTCTCACTTATCTAGAATTGCAACTTCGATTGCTTGAACAGATTTTTAGCGTTATTTATATTATGGATGAGGCTTGTAGTTTGCATATTTTAGTCATATGAGATTAAGTTTTCCATCTTTGGGGACTGTAGTGATTGGCAGTTATTATTGATGTTTATTTACTTGCTTAAATTAGTAAATTTTTTAAAACTGAAATTTTCATTCATTTTAAAATGTTAATATAAGTATTTCTTTCGGAATAACATCAAAAATCTTCATCTTTAATTATTCTGTAAATTCATTTCTCTTTGGTTATTACAAATTTGTTTAATTTTCAGAACAGCTAAAAAACTGGAAGTTTAACTTGTATTTTTGATATATAGTTGTGGTGAATCGCTGTAAGCGTTTGTATATTTAACTTATAGATTTATGTTCAGGTCGTATTAGCCTTGGAAAGATCTCTTGAAACGTCGACATTTTTGGACATTCTAAAGCAAAAGTCAGTTGCTGCCCATCATTACGTGGCTTATTTGAAAGATTCAAAAAATTTTGATCAACTTGCTTCAACATTATTGTAAGTTCATACTTATTTTTACACTCTCTGCAACGTTGCAGTAAATAAAATTTGAAAATCAAAAATAAATAAGAGTGAACATTATTTAAATGTTAGCAGTATATCAATTTATTGCAGCGTTGTGTATGAATTAAAATTATTTATAATTGTTATTTTTTTACATTCTTAGATTTTGTCGTGTGCAATATTTCTGTTTTCTGCTGCATAATCTACGTGCTCCTTGGGCTATTATTTGATAAAGAATGAATCATATGGGATGTTGTTCTTAATTTTAGATCTCATTATGTGTGCATTTCTTAGAATGTATAACTTTTAGTCCCATATTGATTAATAGCATTTGCTAACGTTCGCGATAAAATTCACCAAATAAAACGTAGAATTCTCACAGTGGAATTAGCAGTCGCTCATCCATTTTTTTCATTTTCAAAAAATGTAAATAAAGAAAAGTAGAGTGCATGTTTCACATATTTCTTTTCAAAAACAAATCAATTTGCCTTCAAAAATTTCTTCCAGAGCTTTGAATCGTATAGAAGAAGTTGCACTTGTATTGTATTCAGTAGCCTGCAGGAAAAAACCAAGTGAACGAGTCGTGTATTTAAAAAAATGTTTGAATTCATGCATTGCTTTTCCGTCATTGGAAGCTTTTTCAAAATCTGTGAATGAATATATCGATCTTCTGGAACGACAAATTATAATTGAAGTAAGAAATTTAATGACAGATTACATATTTGTATCTAATTACATATTGTACAACAATAACACAGCATCTAGAAATATATTTTCAAGATGGTTGTCCACTTTTACAAATGTTATGGCAATTTAGGACGCTGATGAAGTACTTAAAGAAGGAAAAAACAAAATCTTCCAGCAGTGCCGCAAAACAGTTACTTTAATTGGGCGACCAGTTTTGACAACATTGTATTATTCTTGTCTGTATCATTTCGATCTTCCTGTGGTACTTTAATCTCTCGTTTTCAAAGTCAAATTTCGAAAAGTACAAAATAATTTCAATTATTGCTGATTCAATGGAGAGTGATAGAGTTTGAGAAGAATAGAACCAACCCTCATCATGTCACCTAAGTACTTGAAGTTAGGTCAAAAAACTTGTAGAGAAATCCTTCGTTATCCATAGCGTGATATATATTTGATCAACACAGTAATTAGGAGAATATTTCCGTGGATAAAATTCTCCGTAGTAATGCATGAAATGAAAACACCACATATACTTGCAAAGCAAGCCATGCTGCAAATCCATCTATGCTTCTGGCTATCATAATTTGGTTCGTAGCAAGAAAGAAAGAAAAGATTTCATTTGAGGAATTGTTTGGATTTAAATGCAAGCAGCAGAAAAGAATTAATAGTTCACAGAGATGAGGAAACAGGGAAAGGAAAAATTGGGATTTTTCAAATTTCGCCCGCTTAACCATAAATTTAAAGATAGATGGGAATATATCTTTAAATCTCTGGTTCAACAGAAATATGGAAATTTTAAAATGATGATAAAATGAATTTAACACGATGAGTTAGCGATAGTTGTTTCTTATATTAAAGATATATTTGCAGAATGCTTATGCTAGCCCATTATCCATAAAAGAATTCTTCAATATGACTGAAAAGCAGTATGCATGGATGGCAATATCGGCTTTAACTCGCTTAAAAAGGTTTAATGTTGCTTCATTCATTTACTAAATGTGATTCATAAATTAGTACAAATCAAGACTATTTCAATATGGTTGCTGAATTACTCAAATCTATATAACGACGAGTACGGCGTTTTATTTGTGTATATGCTATCTCTTATTAGCTATTTTTGATTAAAAGTAATTCGGAGTGACGAACTTATTTTTTTCTGCAGTACGTTGTAATATAAATTTCTAGACAGCAGTAAAAATTTTCTTTTACAATTCTTAGAGCGAGGAGAAAATATGAAACCGAAAGACTTTAACTGTGGAAATAATGGCAGCATAAATCAAGCGATACATAAAACGACAGAAAAGTTTATTCCAGATGGAATGACATCGAAAGAGTATTGATGAGCAAAAAATTATTAGGTGGTGTCAAAATTCACTGTCCTTTTGCTTGGCATCATTTATTTACTATAATTTCAAGTGATGAGCAGCCACCAAAAGAAGTATGAGATTATTTTCATTTCCACCTTTTTCATTTTTTCCTCTGCCAAAACTTCAAATCAGCAACAAATGATTTATTTTGCAAATAATGGATTAAATTCCTTTTTATCCTAAGAGATATATTGATTTTATGAAAAGTATTTTGCAAAAATTTGTGAGTCGCAAACAATTCGTGATATCTTTAGAATTATTTCGATATGATTTTTTTTCATAGATCTTATGTAAGCTTTTGCGTGCCATTCCGGATGTGAACGAACGTCAGTGCCTTGCAAACCAATTTCCACATGCATCTGAAGTAACAATCGAATGTTTAGTGGCGCAAAAGGATCGAGTTGCACTGAGTGCCTTTTTAGCCAAATTA